GAGTTCAGTGGCACGACCACATCTCACTGCAACTTCAACTTTGCAGACTCAGGTGATCCTCCCACTCCAGCCTCCCAAGGAGCTGGGACTACAAGCATGTACCACAATAGCTGGCTAATGTTCTTGTATTTTTATTCTCAAACTCATAGACTCAAGCAATCTGCCTGCCGTGACTTTCCAAAGTACTGGGATTACAGGCGTGAGCCACTGAACTGTGCCTAGTATACTTATTAATTGTTGTTATGGAAATCCTTGGTAAATCTTTAAAGCCATCTTTTAAAAAGTGTAGAGATGAGTAAAAGATTGGCAGAACTATTATAGTGATTTATACCTGTGACAAAATATCAGATGCTATAATTCTACATTTGTAAAATGTGAATAATGACAGAAATATTTCAAAAATCAAATAATAAACAGTAACAAATACTCCCAGTTCTCTCCCAGTGCTTCCCAAAACTTTTTACAGGACATAATCATAAAAATTAATCATAGAAACAGGGAGTTGATATTTCCATAATCTTTTGAAATCTAATATGTACTTAAAATAATTTCAACATATTTAATTAATTATGTAATATAAAATAATTTCAACATATTTAATTCATGTTTAATAGAGAGGACATTTTTAAAATTACTGCTACCTTAGTAAATGCAATTAAAGGATATTTTGAACTCTAAAACTGTAAGTAGTTCCAAGTCAGAGCACTTTAAAGTATTTCTGATGCTCACTTTTATATTCCTTTTGTTGGTTTTCATGAGATGTTTCTCTTAAATTTAAGACACTCAAGTTATTTATTTATAGCTTTTCCAGCTAAATATCAGCCTTCTACAGGATATGCTATTCTATGAAGTTTACTGTTTTTCAGCACAAGTAGATTAAAAATGCTTAATGAGTCCATTACCTACAGTAACAGAGAATCACACTCACAGTAAACAGTGTCTTAGGTCAAAGCCAGATGATAGCATAAAAATTTCAGAGATTTCTCTGTTCATTTTGAAACTCTTATAATTTTTTTTGTATTTTTTAGTAGTCTTAATAAAGATGGTATGTGAGTTACCTATGTGAGTTACTGAAGTAAACTTTTTATGCTTTGATATGACAGTCTTTCTTACGGTAGAGCTGTAGTTGCGTGTTTACCATTTTTTATGTCATTGTGACTCCATATATCTTTTATTTCATCACTCCCTTGGTGCTGCAGTTTATTTTTCAAGTTAAATAAAAACACTAGCAAAGAAACAAAGAAGGTACTGTAATCTTCTGACCCCCGTGCTGACAGTACCATATATTTTGAAGTAAATAAAGATATGGAATCAGGATTATGAAACAAGCATACACTTCAGAGAGATGTTTTGTAAATTTATTGCTTGACTGTGTAGTGCAACTGCCACAGTTTTTGATGGACAAGGACATATATCTGGAAAATGAAACAACGATAGTGGCTCACTGTAATTCAGAGATAATAACTACCAGAAGATACAATTGTTCAGCAAATGTGAGATTATTGGTTTCCTAGGGATTTATTAATTTGATGTATTTTAATCCTTGCCTGCCATAAAAGAAGACTATTGTCACTCAGATGATGGGGTCTCACTCATTTTGTAAAGCATTCTGATCATCTCTTTCATTTATATCTAAAATTCATCTGGCAGTTGGAAGCAGGCCCCTGCTGCACAACAGTCACCTACAATGAATGTAAGAGCTCACGTCCAGGCTTCAAATGTCACCACATTGCCATCTTACTGCGAGTGACTGAAATTTACTTCACGTTGTTAGTGGTGCTGAAAATTGCCACGGGTTTCTACAGTTTATAATGTATTGTCTAAACCGAAAACATTTCCCAGATTGAATTGACCTTTTAGAAAACAGCACTTTCATCCTCAAATGCAGGACTGTTGCAATATTTTATTTAAAAAGGTTATTTAGTTATAAAACTTGGAAAAAGGGTAAGGAATTAGAACTTAGTATCTCTCTCCATATAATGCTTTGCTGTCAAAAAATACAAAACGAAGACCACTGATTACTTAACCACGCAGATGCCACATCGAAGAGTGTGCTGGAAAAAGCACATCTTGCTTGTTTCAATAGAAAAGAGCAATATAAAGAGTGAATGCCTTTTTTATTCTGTATTTCTAATTAGCGTGCCATTTCGTTGTCAAAGGAAGAGTGGAACGTGTTCAAGTCTGTTGAGCCACTCTAAACAAAATACAAGTCTAAAAAATTTACCCGCAGAGCAGAGTACTTTCCTATCATCGTTGAAGACACACGTGTGTGTGTGTGTGTGTACGTGTGTGTGTGTTTGTGCAGTAAAAGGTGTAAACAAAAACATTTAGAAAGAAATTTTAAGCATGTTTCCAAAATGATTTTACCAGGTGGAAAAATAAGTAAAGGAACAAAAGTTTTCCTAACCAAGTAATTTAAATGAACTTGACTATATGTAGTTGTAACACTAGTACGGTTCATGAGAATAGAAAAACAGTTACAGCAAATGATCCTGAAGCATAGAGCCAGCTTGGAAAAATACAGTCAAATTGATGTCTCTCATATTCTCTCTCATTTTTTTTTCCTTTTCCTTTTCCTTTTCCACTCTGTTGTCAACCTTGGTAAGAGAATAAATAGGACGCTGTGAGTCAAATATTTTATATGATAACATTTCTGGATAAAACATTTAAATATTTCAAAGCACTAAATATTTTAATTAAATTGTTTTCTAATGTCTTTTAATATTTAGAAGATATGTGAGACTTCTTAGTCTTTTAGGGTTATTGTCATAAACATAGTAACTGTAGAATCATCATGGTGCTAAATTCCATTGCATTTCATTAGACTTTCCATTTTATTTTGTCTTAAAGAAGATACCCATTCTACCTCAGCTTTTGTACTGTGGTTTGGTGCTGTGCCCTAGTGTGTCATGGATGTATGTGGTGGTCTCTGTTAGAATAGTGATTGTCGGCCCAGCGCGGTGGCTCACACCTGTAATCCCAGCACTTTGAGAGGCCGAGGCGGGCGGATCACGAGGTCAGGAGATGGAGACTATCCTGGCTTACACGGGGAAACCCCGTCTCTACTAAAAATAAACAAACAAAGAATATAAATAACGGGCGTGGTGGCGGGCGCCTGTAGTCCCAGCTACTCCGGAGGCTGAGGAAGGAGAACGGCTTGAACTCAGGAGGCGGAGTTTGCAGTGAGCCGAGATCACGCCAGTGCACTCCAGCCTGGGCGACAGAAAGACTCTGTCCTCCCTCAAACAAACAAACGAAAAAACAAAGAATTGTGATTGTTATCCCTTTAGAGGCAGAGGCAGCTACCATCCCTGTAGCTCCCCATTCGCTCTTCTTGCAGAAGCACAGGGAAAACATGGGACTTAAATAATGTAATAATGGTGTCCAATGTCAGTAAATATTTTAAGAAGACCTTATTAAAGATCAATACCGTATTGATGGTTTAGGTAAATTAGAAAATAATAAATAGTATGATGGGTATAATTGCAATTTGTAGTTTCATTTTCTTTGATTTTTATCGTTACTGTAGAGAGGTCTGTTCTCTTTTCAAGTTACCATCTTTTTTTCTTTTCTGGCTTACCTTAAGGTCTATTTTTTTTTGTATTTTTATGTAGTGTGTTTCTCTAGGATATCTCTACATGAAAACTTGTTTCAATCATCCTTCTTGCAGTAATTTGTTTTCTGAATCTGATTATTTTTGTCAGATCTGAAACATTGTCCTCACTTTGTATTTTCTCCTCCCGATTCACTCATTAGCCTCTTTGTGATTCCTTTAGAAATGACAGACATTGGTGGTCTTTTCATTCAATAATCCATGTCCTTTAACCACTCTTTTGTATCTTTTGTTGTTGTTCCTTTGCTGTATTCACGAAATTTCTTTTTTCTTTCTTTTATTATTTTTTTTGAAATGGAGTCTCACTCTGTCGCCTAGGAGGGAGTGCAGTGGTGCAATCTCGGCTGACTGCAGAAGTCCTAGCAGGAGACAGCCAGAACCCACCTCCCGGGTTCAAGCGATTCTCCTGCCTCAGCCTCCTGAGCAGCTGGGATTACAGGTGCACACCACCATGCCTGGCTAATTTTCGTATTTTTAGTAGAGAGGGGGTTTCACCATGTGGGTCAGGCTGGTCTCAAATTCCTGACCTTGTGATCCACCCGCCTCAGCCTCCCAAAGTGCTGGGATTACAGGCGTGAGCCACCGTGCCTGACCAATTCGTGCAATTTCTTAAGATCTAGCTTCCATTGTGATTTCTCTCTAGATCTTTTCAAATTATTCACTGCACTTTAAGTTCAATAACTATATTTTAAAATGTAAATGTTAGTTAGGTGCAGTGGCTCATGCCTGTAATCCCAGCACTTTGAGAGGCTGAGGTTGGAGGATTTTTTGAGGCCAGGAGTTGAAGACCAGCCTCGGCAATGTAGTGAGACCATAGTGGTGACATGTGCCTGTAGTCCCAGCTACTTGGGAGGCTGAGGCAGGCAGTCCAAGAGTGTGTGCTCAGAAGTTCCAGGCTGCAGTGAGCTATGACTGCACCACTGCACTCAGCCTGGGCAAGAGAGTGAGACTCTGTTTCTAATAATAATAATAATAATAATAATAATAATAATAATAATATAGTAAAAGTCTTAGTCTATTCTTATTCAAATATTTCTGCCTAGTTTTTATTTCAACTTATTAATCATCTCATGTGAAAGATATTATAAACACAAAGGTGTACATGGAACAAAATAAATTTGAATCCCTACTTCACACTACATACCAAAACCAATTCCAAATAGATTGCAGATATAAATATGAAACAGAAAAGAATAAATCTTTTATAAGAAAACAAGAGGATATCTAATAATTTTGTGTTAGTCAAACATTTATTGAAGAGAACACAACAATTTTAATCTTAAAAGTTAAATAATTTGATGACATTAAAATTAGAACACCTATTTATAAAACTCCACAGAACGAGAGATTCTATAATGAACTAATGGAAATCAATAAAAAAAGGATGGCAGCACAGTAGAAAAGACTTTAAGAAGCATTTCACTGAAGAAGATAACCAAATGATCTTTCAACATGTAGTCAACATTGTCATTAATCAGGAAAATATGCATGTATATATTTTTAAAATAAATATTTCACTTCTAGGTATGACTGAGTACTTTATGGTAACCCAGTGTTCTCACTGAAAATAGGTAGAAAAACAAAATAATCATAAAAGTCACATTTTTGAAGACACCAGAAAGTTATATAAAAATAGAAGATGATAGATTAAAATTCCATTGAAGATTGAAACTTGCAGAATTGAGCTGAAAATTTGCTCCTGGCTTTTCACAGAAGAAATCTGCCAATTTCTGCAGGCTGGAGGCTAAAGGTCTGGGTGTGTCTCAGGCACAAGGCAAAACTGGAACAGAGAAAAAAACCAAGAGTCGTTTAGATAGTTACTCAAATTGCCAGTCTGATCCACAACACATTTGGAAATATTGGAGCTACTCTGGGCAAACGCTAAAGAGTTAAGCTTAAGAAAAGGCTTGAAGAAGGGTGGAAATTTTTAGAGTGCCTGGGCTAAGGAAATGCCAGTTCTCATTTGTAAACTATGAAAATCTGAGTCCTAGCAGGAGAGAGCCGGAAGTCAACTAAGTCTTATCAAAACTTAAATTCCTTCTTAAGCTACTTCCTGATTGAACTACTCATCCTGACTGGATTGAGGGGAACAGTCCCTCATTCTACCTATTTAATAAAGAAAAAGGTGGGTCTTCTCAAGGAAGGTAATATCACTGGAGTCTTTATGATCATTTTAATCACAATATCTATCATTTATTTTAAAAAGTAATAGATATTTAATTTTATGGGGTCATGTAACCGATAACCAAGAGAAAGAAAAGTCAAAAATAGAAAAGATACACAGGTAAACTCAAAATATTACAAGTAGCAGAAAGAGACTCCAAAATATCTGTGATTAATATGTCCAAAAAATAAACAAATGCATAAAGAACATTAATGAAAAGACAGATCATTTCAACAAAGATATAAAATCTTTAAAAAATAAAACATAGATATATGTACTGCACTCTAATTTAGGAAATAGAATATTACTAGTACATACGAATCGTATGTTTCTCTCTCAGCTTGCCTAACCCTCCTTTCATAGATATAATCATTCATCGGTCGGGTGCAATGGCTCACATCTGTAATCCCAGCACTTTGGGAGGCCGAGGTGGGTGGATAGCTAGGTCAGGAGATTGAGACAATCCTGGCTAACACGGTGAAACAGCGTCTCTACTTAAAAAACAATTTTTTTTTTTTTAAATTAGCCGGGCGTGGTGGCGGGCGCCTGTAGTCCCAGCTACTCTGGAGGCTGAGGCAGGAGAATGGCGTGAATCCGGGAGGCGGAGCTTGCAGTGAGCCTAGATCACGCCACTGCAGTCCAGCCTGGGCGACAGAGCGAGACTATGTCTCAAAAAAAAAAAAAAAAAAGATACAATCATTCATCATGTCCTATATTAATTATTACCTCTTTCTTACCTCTTTCATATTTACTGTTAATACAATATTTAACTATAGCTCATTTTTGAGCTATACACAAAGAGAATTATATGTAATTTTTTTCTCTAACATGCTTCCATTATTCAAAATTTTGATTTTTAAGTCATCTTTGTTGAGGTACATTGTTGTCATTTATTAATTTCCTTTGCTGAATAGTATCCATTGAATTAAGACATCACAATTTAGGTATATATATTCTTTGTGATAACTATTTGGGTTATTTTCAATATTTATTTATGTAAATTATGCTGCTATTAATGTTTTTGTATTTATCTCCTGGGGCATTTTACACGTTTCTCTAGGGTAGGGTATATATTAAAAAGCAGAGTTGTGGATCAATGCAACTATGCAACTTTTCTGATACATCCCCAAATGTCTTTCAGAGTGATTGTACTCGTTTATACTCTGCAGAGCAGTGGAGGAAAGTTCAGATTGCCTAACATGCTCACCAACTAAAAATTGCCCAACTTCTTTTATTTTTCTTGGTATGCTGAGTATAAAATAATATTTCATTGTGACTTAATATTTATTTTATGATTACTAGTGAAGTGGGAAAGATTGCTTCAAAATCTGACATTTTGTATATTGATTTCTTCAACAAGATTCTAGTAAATATCTTTTACCTATCTTTTCCATTTGCTTTTATCTTTGAGCTTTGTAATATTCTTACAGCTTTTTGTGAAGTTTTGCTGAAAAAATAGTTTTTTAAAAAAATTTTTAATTAATTAGTTGTTTTACAATTTTTAAACTTTTATCTCCCCCGGTTCCAGCATCATTTTATCTCTTATAGACATGCGATATCCAAAGATTTGGGAACAAAATTTAAATATATATGTGGGTCAATTTCAGATTATTTGGCCCATTTGTCTATAGTTTCACTAATACCAACATATAATAATAACTTTACATTTATGTGAAATATTTATGTCTGGAAAGCCATATTCTTTTTTAGATGACTCATTTTTTAGCTTTAAAATGTAAAAGTTTCAAAAATCCTTTCTGAATTAAAAAAATACTATTATGTACATGGATATTTATCTCATAAAGATTTGGGTCTCAAAAGGCTAATTTTTCTGATTTTAATAAATCACAACAGATTTTCATTGTTACATTTTATCCTTTAACTCCCTTTATATTTTGTATTTTTTATAAGCAAATAAAACTGAATTGACTCATTTATGATTTCTGCCATCCTATAAAAAGCACAATGTATCCTAAGTTTCAATATATCTTTATGTTTATCCATAAGGTTTTACATTTCATTTGAAGTTATATTTTCTAACTAATTGTTGTGGATGTTTACAAACGCAATTCAATTGACTTTGGTATATGGCTTTTTAAAATCCAATGGCCTTACTACTCCTTGTTATTAATTTATTTTATTTATATATTGACTTTTTAGGCATATTTTATGAATACAATCACATCATCTGCAAAAGTTGTACTTTAGTTTCTTCCCAATTATTTAGGCCACTTCATAACTTTAAGGACTCTAATGCTAAAATAAGACTCAAAAATACTGAAGACCTCTAAATGCGATAAGTTGGTTATTCGGATGATTGATGAAAGAGCAAAGAGCAGATGGTACTTAACATTTCAGTTGTTCACATAAAACAGAAAGACTTAAATTCTCCCTTACCATAATGAACTAAATAAAACAATATTTATACAAGTTTTAGTAAACGATAATGTTTTAAGTAAAATATAATTGATAGTATTTTTTTTTCATCAAGATAAAGTTCAGAATCCTAGATTGTAGTACTATATCAGATTTCTGTAAGAAACATAGCATAGTAAACAATGCTTAAATACCAGATGTAAATCAAGGAAGATTCTTAACAGAAGTAAAAGATGTGTCTAAGAATATAAAATACAATTTCTAATAATCAATAAAAATAAGACAATAATGTAAAATGACAAAAATTGAGAAAAAAGATATGAACATACAATTTAAAAAATAATTGCACAAGTGCCATGTATAGTATAAAGTCATACAAATTCACTAGCAAATACATAATTAGAATTTTAAATAAAATATGATTATTTATCAGATTAGCAAATATTAAAATTATTGATAAAACTAATTTTAGAGGAGATGTAGGAAACATGATATCATATAAAATTGGTTATAGTATACACTGTTGCAATTTTTGAGGTGATAGTACAATATCTACCTACATTTAAATGGGCATATCATTTGAGGCAACTTTTCCACTTCTTGACATCTCTCCTACAGAAATATCCACATGCACAAAAAATCACATGTACAAATGGGTTTGTTGCAGCATTAAATGATTAAGTAGTATTGGCATGCTATTTAATACCATGCAACCATTATAAAATCAGCAAGTAGATTTATGATATTTACATAATATCCCTACAGTATTCTACCAAAATATATATCAAGATATATTTTACATTCATACAGTGAAATGCTACTACACAATAAAGAGGAATGAATTATTGATGTCCTCCACAACATGAATGAATTTTAAAATCAGTAGCTGAGTGAAAGAAGCCAGACAAAAAAGAGCACATATTACATGACTCATTTATATAAATGTCCAGAAATGTTAATTAATCTGTAATGAAAGAAGGTACATCAATTATTCTCTGGGGAAGGTAGTGGAAGGAGAGGAGACTTATGAAGGGCAAAGGAAATTTTTGCAGCTGATGGAAATATTCGCTATCTTGACTGTGGTATGTACATGTGTTAAGACTGATCAAATTGTACTCTAATTGTGTGAGACTGGCACTCTTTATACTTCAATAAGATTAATAATCAAAAAAACCTTAAGAAGCAAAACACTTTAGGATGTTTAGATTTAGATATTTTCCTGGTCTAAATTCCAAGAGAGGAATCTTTGTCACTTAGGAACAATCTACTAAGGTATGTACTCTATTTAGAAAACAATATCATGGATCATCTGCAGCCTATACTTAACGAAAATTACAGTTGATGATGGAAATAGCCAACATGATCTGATGAAATGCGTATCATTAGATCTTGGTGGTAGAAGTGATATTTATTCACATACATAACTTAGCCACATAGAAAGGTTATTATATTTCATTGTAAGGGAGAATGAATGGGGTCTTAACTGATCACAACTATTAGCTGGAAGAGATGATGTTAGCAGTCCTGTTATCAGATTGGGTAAGGATGGTAAAACTGTCAAACAGCTCTGTAAATCCCTTCAAATAAATAGTTGAAGTTAACTATTACTTGATGAGGCTTCTAAATTTTCTAGATTAACTTACTAACTGTAGATCAAGCCTTTCCAAGATTATTATTCAAACTCTTGTGGCTTCCAAACTTTTTTAAAGCAATAGAACCTTTTAATCAAGCAAAATCTCACTCAAAACACCAACTTCAATCATCACACTTGTTGTAGATGAAAGCAAAATCTTTTAACCATATATTTATTGTATAAGATTATATTTTTAATCCTTGAAATGAGTAAGAATAATATGACTAGAGAATAATAACCACAAGGTTTGCAATATAGGGTTTGTGCCTCAGCATCTATTTCTGTATCTTGTTTGGATGGCAGAGTTTTTAGAAATTCAAGTTTCATACAGATAAGCAGTTTCAAATAGTATTTTTATTAGTTCCCATTGAAAGCAGAGTATACTCTCCACTTAAACTGATCAAGAAGCTTCAGATGATGCTGACAAAGATGCCTCTAAGATGAAGCACTATTGTCCAACAACTGAATTCACTGCTTACCAAAAACTTAGGCAAGAAGCACCAAATATTTAAAATACATGTTAAAATTATCTGGTATGAAATTATCACAACTCAATGTGTTGTGAATTTACTTGCAATTGAACACGTTTTACTCCTTGATAGCCACA